CAGGAAAAGTCGTCGATAGATGAATGAAGAAGACACAGAACCAAGTGGAAACATCGTACAAATGCCATATGGGTTGCCATGTTGTAGAGAACTGCTCAGGTAAGGCCACGACTGTAGCTTGTTCTTCTGCGCGTAGTTGGGTAGTTCTTATGAAATGTCCATCAGAAGGCTATGTTATACATTAAGATTTCTAATCGCTCTTTCTAATCCTTTGGATCGTCAGAATACGGAATCAATGGTGATTCTTGGATTGAACTTACTGACTGTAGCGCTAGAGGTGAGTTACCTATGGGATCAATCTGAGAAAGGAAATTAATGAGCTTGTTAAGGCCGCAGCGGACCACCTCGCTAGCTACTCTTTTCTTGTGCCGCTTCTCAAGGATAACCTATGCAGATCATTGCTGCAGGTTTGTGTTTAGTAACGAGATAGGATATTTTATTTATTTGTGCATATTGTTCTATATGATAAGTGCAGTCTACATATACACATTTTAAAGGCTGCTAAGGGAGACAGGAGGCTGTTTTTCGAAAGTTATCTTCAGGACATTTTTACTGACTCCATATGCTTGCCAGTATTCGGGGTCGCATGGCAACCACAAATATTGGAAACCCATAGGTTACTGGCGAAATATTTTTCTTCGATAGCGGGGAAGGAGGGAAAGGAAGGGCATGACGATGATAATATAATTATCAACTTCTCTGAAGTCCTCGCAAATTAGGTAGAGATTTACGGAACATGGTCAGATAGCGGAATCTCTTGAAAATAGTCTTCAGTCTTCAGAAAAGCGATGAAAAATGTGAAGTCTGAATGGTTAGTTGTGAATGCTGTTTTCAGCTTCTCGATACGGAAAAGCTACCAGTGCTAGCAGCAACGAATAGAGCATGCTTCCTGCTGTTCGAATCTATGCGAAGTCAGTTGAAGTTCCAACTAGAGGCATACTTTCACAAGCTGAAGGGTATAGTCCTTAACGAGCAGGTACTGTTCATTTGAGGATTTTGTTGCATCTCGCTGATTGTGACGGACAGTTCTACTAGTTCCTTCGAAATTGTACAAACTTGTCATGTCTCAAAAGGATCGTTTAATGAATAAATGTCGGGTTCTGGCCGAGAGAACCCGTAGACATGGCGACTGTCGGCAAACTCTATTACTGAACGTAGTGTTTAGCGTACAACGAGTTATGAAACAAAAGGAAATGGCACTGGAATCGATTGTGCAGCTTTGGCGAATACCGGGCTTGGTCACTGAGCTATACCTTAATTATGACTGCGATCTTTTATTGCAGGTGCGTTTTTCCTGTTTTTTTTTTTGAGGCGTGAAACTTTTATGGTTGCACTACTCCGTTCTATATATTTAGTTTTACATTACGACATTTTCGAAGAGTTTAAAAATTGCTAGTGGAAATGCGTGTGCAATGTCCGGTCTTTCAGGCATTCGTTGATCTCCACTGGACGTTATTGGTTGTTAGTTGTTATCGATTCAGAATTGTTGTTTCGTAGGCTGCAATGGGGTGCTCCACCACCAGGAGCAGAGTATGTTGCTGATTCAGATTAAGTTCTGTTATTTATAGGAGGACACGTTGCCACGGGTGATTTTGATGTATTCAGTACTCTTATGCATATTTAGTTTCACTACCGTTATTTCATTATTTTCTAAGGCAACTTCTTCTTAATTTTAGCCCTAAAGCCGCATCAGCTCTACCTCTTCCAATATTGAGCGGTTACGAGATTGGGCAGCGAATCCTGGCAAGCGGAAGCGATTTCAGTACTCCGGAAAGAGGTGAAATAAGACATATTGAAGAAGAAATGTTGTGTTACGCCTGCTCATATTGCGTATTATGGGATTACTCTGATCTTTTTGTCAGAATTTGAGAACTTGTAATTGATTTCAATCAGTTTTTAAGTTGTACCCGAACCAATGCCGAAGGCGCTTTTGCCGAGTGCAAATCGTCATGCTCCATCACATCGTATGCCGTCAATGGAACAGGTAAGCTATTGTAATTAAAAGATTTGTAATTTTATTTGGTTTTTGTGTTTGCTTGTACCTAATGATCACAATAGCAAATTGCTTGAAGTGTCTCAAAAACACCGCACCGTTTTCTTGTCTTTTGCACCGTATTCTCGTCTTTTGTACTTCTAAATAATGAGTTCTCAAGGCCTTTATATTCGTGCACACGTTACTTGACCGAGTCTCCATTTGTGAATCTGAGTGTGCATCATGGGCATTTTTCTGGTTCTCAAGCTGCTTTCCAACTTTTCTCTAATACATTCCAAATCACTTGGATCAACTGCTTCCGGCTTGTTCTCGTCTGTTTCGGCATTTTACTGAGCTCGAACCACCCATACCAATCCTGCGCACAGTATTTCCAAGATACGTACCGAAAAAGTTGCAGACTCTTCAGCTTATATATGCTATCATGCGATAGACTATTGTTAATAATGGTAACTCATTCAATAAAATACCTTATAGGTCATTGATCAAAAGAAAAGAAAACGGATATTCGCTGAAGGAACGGAGCTGTTCAATCAAAGTCCAAAGAAAGGTGGGTGGCTCGAGGGAATTTTCAGCATAGTCTTCGATTTGTCTACTTCCTCTTAAGCGGAATTTTCCCTATGAGCTTCAATTAAAGGTTCAGGGTAATAAAGTAATTCAGGCATTGAATACCTACGAGAAAAGGGTCTGCTCGATGCTGATGCTAAAAGTGTAGTGAACTGGTTGCGAACGAATCCACAGCTTGATAAAAAGAAGATTGCAGATTATATTTGCAGTAGGAAACACGCTGATGTGAGTAAAATTTGGACTTTCCTATCCCTTTCTTTCTGTAAACTTAGGGTGAGTGCTGCTTAACTTTCCTGTCCTCTTCTCTGTCACTTTTACTTTCTTTATGTGCACCTAGAGTAAGTACTGCTTCCAGGTGCTAGAGGCATTTGTGCAATCGTTCCCCTTCGAGAATACTCGCTTGGATGACGCTCTCCGCATGTTCCTTGAGACATTCCGTCTACCGGGAGAAGCGGCAGAGATTAGTATGGTCATGCAACACTTTTCTGGTAGAGACTTTTATACTGCTTCTGTGTAAGTTTTACCAAGTTGGCGTTTCCGTGCTGTGTAAAGTTTTTGAGCATGATTAACCATCTCGCTCAGCGTGGTCAATTTGGGTCATTAATTTACAATGGTCTGACAGGCGGGTGCATTTTTGATCAGCATATTTTTCAGATCAGTGGTACAAGGCAAACCATGAGCCGTTCAACCACGTTGACGCGGCGTTCACTCTGTCCTATGCCATAATAATGCTGAATACTGATCAACATAATCCAACGGTAAGATCAAATTCAACGAAGGAATCTCATAATAGTATTGAATGTTCTTTTTCCAGGTTCGCCGAAATCAGCCTCCAATGACAGTAGACTGCTTCAAGCGAAATCTTTCGGGCACAAACGGTGGAGCAGATTTTGACCCAGAAATGCTCATGACAATGTATAATGCCATCAAATCGGAGGAGATTGTGATGCCAGCTGAACAGACGGGAATTGTGAAGGAGAATTATTTATGGAAGGTGCTCAAACTTGATTTAATACATTACAAAACTATGTGCTCGTCTCGTTGCTTCGTCCTTGATTCCATTTTGGAAGTTCTAGGTGTTACTGCGACGTGGAGAATCGGCTGAAGGTCATTTTCGAACACGCACCAACTGGCTGGAATGACCATGATTTGTTCTCAATTACATGGGGTCCAGCTGTAGCTGCGCTAACCTATGTCTTCGATAAGTCAGAGCATGACGTCATTCTACAGGTGAGGTTGGCGCACATGTTTGAGTGATACAGCAACATTTTGTTGTTTTCATCCAGGCTTTTTTCGAGAGTAGCATACTAGAGAATGGAATATACATATGTTAGTAAATGCGATACTTGTAGAATAGAAGTTGGTAATATGAATGAAACATTTATATTCATCGCGCTCACGAAGTGTGAGAAATAGGCGTTGCAGCGAAAAAATTCCAATGTACATAGTGGCGTGATAAACGAGATATTCTTTTGTTGCGGTTAAGCTAAGCAGTTAAGCTTTTTAGAAAGCCCTGAATGGATTCCGCAAGTGTGCATCGATTGCCGCGCATTATGGTATGAAGGATGTGTTTGACAATCTCATCATCCATCTATGCAAGTTCAGCACGTTAGCATCAAATTCTGAAGGTAGGAATTGTGATTTTCAAATTGAAAGCACCAACAATTTTATCTTTGTCGAGTTTTATGAAGTGCTTTTAGGACATGGAGACGACAACTTAGAAATGCAGCGACAGAGAAACATGAACGAGGTGACACCTGGTGTTCAGCACGAGCGAATCGCGGTAGCGTTCGGAGAGAATCGCAAGGCCCAAATGGCGACCAAAACGATGTTTGAATTGGTGCATGCAAGTGGAGATATTTTGAGAGAGGTTCGTGATGAATTAAACCGATTCTATTGGAATTTCAGACGTCTGTTTCTATCTCAGGGTTGGCGCAATCTTCTTGACTGCTTGCTGCAACTATTCCGTGCTCGTCTGCTACCGCCCGAGTTGACCGAAGTAGACGATTTCGTGGACGAGAAGGGCTGGGTATCATTGATACGCGAACATGTAGTGTAAGTTTGTGCTAGAAAATTTGTGTGTATTTCTTCCAAGCGGAGCGGGAGAAGCATGCTATAAGTTTGAACAACAAACAATTAGTAGCGCATGAGTGACGTATGGACTTCCATTTTGCCGGCTCTACTCACAAGGCGTGCGCCATACGGTTCAAAACCTTGTAGAAGTCCGCGTACTCGGTGCAGATTCCGCCTGTAAGGAAGGTTTGAGCTCTCTTTTTTGCCAGCCTATATTCATTTTCATCATCGATCGACATATTTTCTCTGGTGCTTTTTAACTGCAATCAGCACTTTTGCATTGGGCACCGTCCAATTTATTGCACGCTCTGCTCGCTCTGGGTGAGGCTCCCCATTGTTCATGTATGCTTTGTACATTCCGGCCCATGAACTTGTTAGAGAGAGCCATCCAAACTTGACTTGGCCTCGGACTTTTAGCGTCATCAATATATATTTTATTAGCTGAAATTCATTGAAATGCTCTACCTTTACTTATTGAATGTTCATTGGATAACCAGTTATAGCCCTAAAGGTTACTGGGAGTTCCGATGAGTTTTTTCTGTAAGTATGCCAGTTTTTTAGGGACCCTCAGCCGGTCCGTAGTGAATCTGGACTTCTTTCGTGGTTTGGTCTAGGAGGAGGAGCCAGCGAAGCTGAACGCAAAAAGATTAACACAGGAGCAGCAAAACGCCATCAAGGTTAGTTTTTGATGTAGCTTTCTATGTTATACGCCCGTCCTCAACTGATGATGTTGTCGAGTAAATTTCATTCATGGAAATGTTTTCTTTTCTGAGTTCTGGGAGAAAATAAAAAGCAACTGCTGGGTTCGAATCAAGTCTAGCTTTTCAGATTGCCAAAATTGGAATTCCTTGATAAAAAAGGTCTGTTTTTTTCCAGCTCGCGCAGTCGGTTATTGCTGAATGTCGACCTTCTCAACTGTTCACAGATTAGTAAATACTCTGACCGAGTACAGCGCTGTCGAATTTTGAACGGCCTGATTCATGGCAAGTCAACAGTCGTGCAAGGCTAGGCGGACTCCCCACAGCCCGTTGGTGTCTCGTTTTTGCAAGTTTTTTTTCTTTCTAAAAATGTCATGACTTTTGTTGATTGAATACGTTCTTAACGCCGTCGCATTTCATGACTCTCTTAAAAACCTGGGTTTTTACAAGGATATAGTTTTTAACATTTGGAGACTCATTTTTTTTATTTGCCCGCTTTAAATTACATAGGCTGGGTAAAGTACTGTGTTTAGGCGATTTATAGTCTGGCAAATATGTATAGTAATAATTGATATAATTTGTTTGGTGCATATCACATGTAGTATAAAACAGTGTTCATTTGTTATTTAAGGGATCTCCTCCTTAATGGAGAGAGCGAGGATGCTAGCTGGTGTTTTATTGGAAAGCTCATAATAAAATTATGTCTTGTAAAATAAGGTATGCTGAGGCAAGGTATTTGACCGGGTTCTGTGAGATCTTTTGCGGGTAAAATATTCAAACTCACTATAGGATCGTCTTTCGTTAGTGTGGCCCAATGGTTCGTCGACATTTGGAGTGGTTACTGTCGGCCCCGTTTTGGAAGGAGTCCGGTATGTACAAAAAGTGTTCTTATTCTTGGTGAACTTAATGCAGCAACACCATTTTGCAGCTTCTCGTGGAACGGGCTGTTGTTGGCCTTCTACGTATTGCCAACAGGAATCTGTTCCGAGACAATACGGTAGCAGATGATGTGCTTCAATCTCTCTCATTGCTTTTGGTACGAAATTTTATGTCCATTCCTTCCTAAGGGTCTCAGCGTCAGCTTAAATAAATTTATTTTAGCGCCTTTCCACCAAAAGCTATGTATGTGTTTTCACGTCAAATTTCGTATGGACTTCACGAATTATTACGAACAAATGCAGCCAACGTACATAGACGAGAGCACTGGGCTGTACTGTTTGCATTACTTTGAAGCGCTGGCGACCGTTCTTTACAGATGACTGCACGATAGTGAGTGAGAGAAAAGTCGGAGCTATCTTCTTATGAGTTGGAGACATCGAAATGACGTTTGTGGCTTGCAGCCGGAAGGACCCGCGTCGGATGAAAGGCAAGCATTTTCGGATGGGGAAACCATGTCCACTCGTCCACAGACGGATGATCGCGGCTACACTTCCGACGACCCGAAAAGAGGTACGTGTAGTACTTTGCTTGTTCAGAAATGGCCAATGTGTCATTTAGTCCATTTAGTAACCGTTCATTTATCTCAGTTTGTGTCGAGACTTCCTATCATCACTTTCTAGAATTGAATTATAGATTAGTACAGAGCGAACAAATTGCTCTTGGTTTGAATTGGAAGTCAAAATTTCTTCCTATATAGCCCACTAGAATTCAATGTCCTGAAACGTAATATCTTTTCAACAAAATTCCAGCTGACACATTCAGGCGAGCAGTGACGCGCCTGCCGATGCAGATAGCGGCCCGGTTTCCGCTGAGCAAAAGCCGCGAATCGAATTCATTTGGACCACACGAAGATGCCCGCCGTGCTACAGAGGACGCCTTGAGGTCACTGGGTGGAAATGCTGCGCGAGTCTGTGGTTTCTCCCGTGGATCGCTGGTACTGCGAACTAATCTAGGCAGGCACGAACCAGCATCTTTCCTGAAGGTATGTAAAATTTCCGAAAGTGTGGTTTGGTTTTCTTTATGAACTCTTGACCTTCAAAAGAAAGAAATGTTTGAGTACTCTCACTGAAGCGTCTATGATGAAAGGAATTCCTCGCCCTGAAGTATTACTGTACTCATGCCAATCAGAGTCAACCCTCTTTTATCCATGTTCAACAGGATGGAGGTTGGGGAGGGGGGGGGGGCGGGTGTCGGTTTTGGAATCTGGAGGGGAGGAACCCATCAAAGCTGATGGTGATGGTGGGTCGTATCGAGGCCCATCAAGGCCGGGTGGGAGGGGGCTGTGAATTTTTTTCTTGAAATGGGCGCAACGGACGGTCGGCCTTGATATGTAGATTTCATGGTGTCAACCGGGTCCATGGTGATTATTCTCGAAGAATTTACCGAATGTTGACAACAAGCGCTCCTTATGCGTTTGCTTGAATTAGTGATAGCCTTTTAGCAGTGCTTCGTAATGTCCTGAGTTTGTCTGAAATTGTTTTACCCGTTTGGAACTTTTGACATTCAAGGTGTGTGATACATTGTCGTTCTTGCTACGAGATGCCATCCATGTGACACCGGACAACTTTGAATCCTGTGTGGCATGTTTACGGACAATGGTCGAGGCGAGTCTGGATGGTGGAAGGTAGTTTCACATTCTTGATTGATACTCATTCATTTCAAAAGCATAGTTTCCAATATTTGATGGGTATTCTGCTTTGTGCCGATCACCTTTTTTGTTTCGCTTGATTCAGTTCAAGTTAAATGTGACTTTAGGTATGCCGCTGGTCCACTCAGTGGTGATGCACAAAATCGACTTACGGAAGCCACGTTGACGACCGCATGAAAAGACCGAAAGGCGGCAAAACCTGGAAAAGTAAGCCGATTTATATTTCGCGATACTGTGATGTTTCGTTCTGGATTACGAGTAAAATCTGTCCCATCCAAATGTGTTACTGCATTCAGTATTCCATTTTTAAGTCCGGCTCGACCCCGAACACTAACACAATCCTTAGTAAAATATCGGATTAAAAAGTGATATAGCTAATATTGTTGGTGGAAACTGAATGAGATAAAGTTGGAAAGTATTGGAGAAGTTATTTCAGAAAGACCTGTCAACAGATGTGACAGGTGATGATAGTGAGATCCGCCGAGAGGAACAACAACTGACAGCTAGCTATCAACAGGTAAGCATTTTTTCCTTTGTAATCGATTCCTTCTATGGCTATACATCGAGCTACCAAGTTCAATTTTAAATTCTCAGGTTTCATTGCAATTGCTTGACCTATGCTCAACACTTCATAGCCTAGCACCGGGTATTTTGGCTCACTGGGCGAAATCTCAACCAGAAGTATGTTACTTTTCGTCTTTCCTTCTGGAAAAAGTGTCAGGAAAACAAAT